ACAGCGCGAAACGACACGACGAACACGTGGACAAAGAACGACACAGGTGCGCAGGGCACACGACGAGGACGCCACCATGGCAACGAAGACCTAACCTGACTTGAAAAAAATGTCTCCAGCTACAAGCACACGCCACCTCCACCAGAACTATTACCAACGCCCCCAACACCAGCGGCACCACCACAACAAGCACACCGCAAGTCTCCCCCACAGCGCGTGGGCAAACATACCTCAGCTCACCGTGGCTGCCCAAGGACCGTTTCACTACAAGTGTCTCTTCGTCCCGTCCCCCGTCAACTCTTCTGGGCAGGGTGTTTGACTGGGTTTGCGGGGATACGACGCCGACGACGCCGCCGCCGCCGCCGCCGCCGACGACGACGACGACGACGAAGACGAAGACGAAGACGAAGACGAGGACGACGACGACGACGACGACGACGACGACGAAGACGAGGACGACGACGACGACGACGACGACGACGACGACGACGACGACGACGACGAGCACGGCGACGACGGCGACGACGCCGACGACGCCGACGGCGCACCCGACGACGACGGCGAAGACGACGAAGACGAGGACGCCGACGATGACGACGACGACGCCGCCGCCGACGACGACGACGACGACGACGAGCACGACGACGACGGCGACGGCGACGACGACGCCAACGACGCCGCCGCCACCGCCGCCGCCGCCGCCGCCGCCGACGACGACGACGACGACGACGACGACGGCGAAGACGACAGACGCCACGTTGAAGACGATGACGACGACGACGACGACGACGACGACGACGACGACGACGACGACGACGACGACGACGACGACCGCCACTCCGAGGCGCCCCGCCCGCGCGCGCCGCCGCCGCGCGGGAACCGCCGCTTGCAGGGCCACCTCGCCACGAACTCCAGGCGCGACAGGGGCGCGTTATCCCCTGCCTTCAACGCGAAGGGAACGATGACGACGACGACTTCCAGGCACCATCCCTGGCCGCACCGCGTCCGCGTAGACACCAGCATAGGCGGGGGCTAGAGAGGGGAGGACCAAGAACGAGGAGAAAGTAAGTGCGCAAGAGGAGCACTGTGAGCGAGAGGGCGGCACTGTGATCAAAAGCCGCGCCATCGTTCGAAACGCCACGTGGCCTTCCAATGCAACGTTGACTTCGCGGGTCTGCCGCTACACGAACAAACCCATGCACGACCATGGCAAACGATCGTCAAATTCAGACAGGTTGCTTCAGAACCCCCCGCCGGTTTGATTAGAGGGTCAACAGGGCGGGGTACCCCAGCCGCGGGGGGAGGCCGTCCCCGCGCGGTGGGTACCACGGGGCGCGGAGGATGGAGCGCGCCGATGGTGGTGAAAACAGCTACAGTGTGGCCAAGGGCCAAGGGGGACAGGTGGACCACGGCCACAGCGGCAGTCCACGTGCCAGTATTGCCAGCTGGCCGCTGCCCATGCCCCAAGGACGGGGGACAGCGGGAGCTGGGCAGAAAGCGCTACCAGGGAGTGGCTACCCTCACTGGTTTGCGGCGGCCGCAGTTAGTGGCTCCCGTATCGGCGCTGCACGGCTGATCCTGGCCCGACCGGGAGGAGTCGCTCTAACGGGGCCCAAGCGACTCGGGGCCCGACCATGCGCTGCGGCATCGCGAAGAGATCCCACAACGCCAGCAAAGAAGCGCGCAACAACGACATCGAGCAACAAACATACGCAACCCGGAACATGACAAAATTCACCGAAGTTTCGTTTGGGTTCCTGTTAGCCCGACTCTTCCCCCCTCTTCTCCCCTGGCGTGCAGGGCGTGTGCAGAGGTGCACGTCCTTCACGCGCAGCGCGTCTGAAGCCCTCGAGATTGCACCAGTGCAAACTGGCCGAGGCCCCAGGTTTGACGGGCATGCGGCGAAGAATGGAGCTGCGAAATTCCAGCCAGTGAACTCACGGGCCGCTCCCTTCCTCGTCCGCCCCACCCCCTTCCCCGCCCTTGCTTTTCTCCAGCGCTTCAAGGAAGACATCGCCTCGGTGGAAGGTGCGGCGCACAGTCAGTGTGCTGCGCTTGCTGCGCGTTGGCCGCACCTGGGCAGCGTCCAGGGGGAGTGTCCTGCAACGCGATGCGCTGGACAGCAGGCCCGTTTGTCCCGAGTGGGCGAATCGATCACGGCGGTGGGGTGCACTGGTACTGCCCTGCTGTTAGCTCGACTTGCTGGGACAAGACAAATCGAAAGCGGGCCAACGAAGCTCGAGCAGAAAGCAATGTTGGCACCTCGCACACACACACACACACACACACAACCTCTACGGCACGGCGAGCGCCACCACGGCCACAACAAACTCGACAAGCACGTGCCCAATCGTGAAAGCAATGTTGGCACCACGCACACAAACTCCTCGACACGGCGCGTGCCACCATGGTCACCACGAACTCGACGAGGACATACATAATCGTAATCGAAGCCGCGCCCAGGCAGAGACGACCACAACAACACGTCGAGAAAAGGGCCAAAACCTCGCAGAGGCGAAGCATGCGCAAAGTGGAAACGAGCGAGGCCCCCACACACAAGCAAGGAAACGCTGTCGCAAACAAACAGTCCAGGACGAGCAACAGGAAGCTGTCGACCGGCGACAAGGCGGCGGCGCATTGCGCGAACTACTAGAATCTGAACACGCCTTGTGACGTCCCGCCGAGCAGCACGCCAAATCCTCAGCGCGTGCACGAGCACCAGCGCCTGAGGCTTGGACGCGCCCGCAAATCCGGGGGGCGCTGGCAGCGACTCTGTCGGGGGGCGCGCGGCCCAGACAACACCGCTGCGCGCGCGCGCGCTGCCCACGGCAAGCCGCGAGCGCGCGAGCGCGAGCGCGCGCGCGCGAGCAGAAGGGTGCCAGGGTCCCCTCCCCCAACATGAGCCAGCGAGTGAGCCTGGCGCGACCGCAACTGAGAATGCTCTCGCTGATGGCACACGTGCGCGATGCAGTGCAACGCGTTGCATTGCATCGCATAGCGTAGCATGTTACAGCATGGGGTAGCAAGGCATAGCGCAGCATCGCACATCATGGCGCAGCATGTTGGATTGCATCGCATAGCGGAACCCTGTATGCCATCGCATCGCCAAAAACGGCATATCAATTGCACTGCATGGCATAGCAGTAGCATGATATACCCGGGGCCGGGGATATAATGCTACTGCTACGCCTTGGCCTGGTACAGGCACGGCTTTGCATGGCAGAGCATCAGCATAGCACTAGCGTAGCATTGCATAGCACTCAGTGGACATTGCATATCGTAGAGCTTCGCGGCGAACTGGCGCCCGAGTCTGTAAGAACATGCCTGATCACGGACCCGAGATGGCCCGCCTCTTCTTTCACACAATCAAATTAAAAACTTATCATCGCGCGCGCGGGGCGGCCTCTAGGAGCTCCTGGGTGAAAAGTACCCTGGACGTAGCGCGCCAGAAACGCGCCAGACTCGGGTCAGAGCTGGTTTTCAGTCTGGGCGCAGCCTTCATGACCCCCAAAAGCGAAGAAATACAAGCGAAATGCGCTCCGAGGGCTACGAAGGCCACAATTCGGCACATCCCTTATGCATTTCCTGCGCCCCCAGGCCTCCAACACTCGTAAAAAAACAAGGGATTCTCAGCTCAATTCTCCGAGGAGCCTCAACTAGGTACACCCTCATGCACTTCGTGCATCATGGGTGCCCAGCTGGTCTCAAAGACAGCTCTTTAAAGCCTCAATACGACGCACCCCTTACGCATTTCGTGCCTCATGGACTTCCAGGGGTGATCTGTGGCCCTCGAGACGGCTGAGGGGCGCCTCAATTGGGCACACCCCTCACGCACGTCGTGCCTCATGGACTTCCTGGGCTCTCAGCTGACCCCTCAGACGGTTCAAGGGAGCTTCGATTCGGCTCACTCCCCATGCACTTCGCGGCCCATGCATGCCCAAAGGACGTCTGCTGGCTCCTAAGACCATCTGCCCCTCCAAGGAACGCTAAGATGGCCTTGAGAAGGATTGAAACGAGTGGTCCCGACCCTCGTCGAAGCCACACCCCGAGCACCCACTGACTGCTAAACCTGCCTGCAACTTTCCCCTGGGGGCCCTCCGTGACTCCTGCGGGCTCTGGAAAGGAACCTCAGACAAGCCATAGGTTTCTCTCTTGCAGCGGGATGATGTTGATTACTGGGTGCTGTGTTGGAGACGGAGGCTGTGGAGCATTGGGTGTTGCGTTGGAGACAGGATGCTGTTGAGTACTGAGTGCTGTGTTGAACGCGGAAGCACGGCGGGCGGGCGGCGGGGGAGCGAGCGGCGGGCGGATGCAGCGGCATCAAGGACGATTCCGTCTGCGGGGGAGCCGAGTGGCCTGCCACAGCGGGCGGCCCTTCGCCCCCGCGGAGAGAAGAAGCGGGCGGCCTGTGCGGCGACTGGCTGCGAGGAGCAACGTCTGCCGCGGACAGGCAACCGCCGGGCCCGCGGCGGGGCGCGCGACACCGCCCCGATCCGCGAGAAACTTAGCCGAACTTGGCACAGCGTTTGACCACAGAGACGCTGCCGAGAAGGCAGCGGGCGGCGGTTGACGTGCTAGAGGCGTCTTCGACATCCTTGCATCTTACTCTGCCATGCCTTGCTGTGCTGGTCCTGGTTTCACCTTGCTTTGCAATGTGCCGCGCACTCCGTTCGACGATTCGCCTCAGTTTGCGCTGCCCGACCGCACCGTGCACTGCACGACCATAGCTTCACCATATATTTCACTGTTCATCCTCGCCGTGCCTTTCATTGTCCTGCATTGGACCCACTCGCTCCCACACACTCCACACACACACACACGAGCGTGGACTAACTGCATGGTGCACCACTGCGGCCGTGCTTCGAGCGAGGCAGCCCATACAATCACGAGGCATCCACGGCGCCAAAGATGCCTTGCAAATGGGTGGCAGCAGAGCATAGGCAAGAGAGCGCTTTCGAACCTCGTAGTCGCTGTGATGAATCAGCGGGTCATCGCTGCAGAGAGCGGTATTGACAGAAGCTGGCCGACTCCCATTTCTTGGGCGAATAGGCATATGACTCCAGATCGACTCTGCCCTGTCCCATGTATCCAACTCTAAAACAAACTGCTGGCTCGAGATCATACCTCAACCTCTCGCTGGTGACAATACTGATGCCCACCCTCCCATCACCAGCCCCGAGTCCTTCTATCCAAGGTGGCAGTCCCCGTTCGTTCCCCCCCACACTGCACCCGTGTAGGAGGCGGAGGCCGAGGACGACCACGAGGACGAGGACGAGGGAGGTCTCCCGAGGACGACCATCAGGACGAGGACGAGGACGAGGACGACCACGAGGACGAGGACCCGCGGAGCCACGCGTGCAGCGCAGCCAACGTTCGCGTATGTACAGTCTAGCACAAGGCAAGCCCTTTGCAGCTCGAGGCCGTGCATCCCTAGCGAAACGACAGCTCCAATTGATCTCAAATGCGGATCCTACAACTCGCCTGCTCCGGGTTTCTTGACAAGCGTGGGGGGGTACCCCCCCGACGGGGGTCAACCTCGCCTCGTCGTCGCACCGCGACGAGGGTCGGAGCGCCTTCGGCGCGCGGCGGCTGCCGGCGACGGGGGTCGATGTGGGGCTGTCGGCGGGGGTGACGCCCCCCGACGCTCATCAAGAAACTCAGAATACGGATCTACCCTCTGCATTGCATCCTCCCTCGAATGAGTTGCATTCCCTCTGCTTCATCTATCCCCCCTGATGGCGATGTGCCTCAGCACGTTTGACAACAAGCGAGAAACGAAGATGTCTGCGGGCACCTCACGCGCTACCACGTGCCCTCTCTGGTGCCTGTCGTCAAACGGGGCTGGTTTAAATGGAGTCGATAGGTCGTGCTGAGTCGCCGATGTCTCACCGATGCATCGGCGATGCGCTGGCGACATCGGGAAGAGAAATTCGGACTCCATCGCGCTGCATCGCCGATGCATCGGCGACGCGGCGCGATCCACCGACACCAACTGGTCCAGCCTCGCTCGGGCGGCTTGGAGATCACCCTCCCAATACACCCCCAGCCAGTCTGTACGCCGTCCCGTCTCTCGTCCTTCGCAGAGCGGAGGAGAGACGAACTCGCGCACACGGATCGGAGTACGAAACGACCCAGAGCAAGAGCGCGTAGACTGACGGCCATAGATCAGGGAGGACACTAAGAATATAGCAGTGTGTAAAGCAATGTCTGCCCTCACCGTTTCATCGAAACCCCTCTGTAACGTGCAACCTCTGCCATCTGCAGCGTGCAACGAACAACATCCTACAAACCAGCCGACTGGGTCCAGGCAGCAGGCCTAGATGCCTGCGCTCCAGCTTTGTACAGGGTGAGTCGGCGAGGCCAGCTTAATATGCAGGCGAAGCAGCTGAGGAGAAGGGCGACAGTGAATGACGAGACGCGCACCCCAACGAAAGAGGCGTGCTAGTTGCGGCGCGAACCTGCACGTGAGAGACATCCGCCGACACTCATCAAATCAGTCAGACAACTTGTAGATCCGCCACCGTGCCTCTGGGCACGAAGTGGGCGTGTTCTCAGGTCCTTTGCCTATCCTCTAAGCCTCAGCCCTCTCTCCTGAAGGGTTTTTTTAGGAGCCCAGACCTCAAATTCCGAAATCTACCGGGGCTTGGCGCGGCTCCCTTGGGCTCATCCGCATCTTGTCGCGCGACTTGGAGGGCCCCAAGACGGGCCAAGAGGGCTCCAAGAAGCCCCCCAAGACGGCCCAAGAGGGCTTGGTTTTTGCAGGTTGTTTGGCGTTCTCGCCGTTTCGGCTTCCCGACGCTCCCAGACGGCCCCAAGGCCACCCCAAGATGTCCCAAAAGGCCCCCAAGAAGACCCAAAACGGACCAGGAGGGCCTCAAAACAGCCCAAGAGGCGCCCAAAACAGCCCAAAACGGCCTCAAGACGGCCCCCAAAAGGGGAACACAAACCGTAAATCCAAGCCTTCCGCCCCAGGAGGCCCCCAGGAGTCCCCAAAAGACACCCAAGAGGCTCAAACAGCCTCCCAAGAGACCCACAAGAGGCCCCAAGAGGCCTCCAAGAGTCCCAAAAAACGCCCCCAAACGGCTCCCAAGAGGCCCCCAAGAGGCCCCCAGAGGCCTCCAAACTGCCTCCAAGAGGCACCCGAGAGGCCTTCCAGGAGATCCCAGCGAACCTCCAACAGGCCCACAAACCACGCACGGTGGCGGGATGGATGAGCCGAAGGCCATTAGATAATCCAACACCTCCCCCACCCCGCGCAATCGAAATGCCCCCCCCATCAAAATCCACCGCCCCCACGCAGAAAACGCCAACAGAGAGGCCAGGGCACGGCCAATCCCGAGGAGGAGCGGAGAGAATGCACCCTGGAGGAGAGCGCACTCTGCGGGCACATGCAGAACAGCACTCGCTTTGGAGGCCACCTCCTTCCGCGGCTGGGCTCGAAGCTCTGACCTCGAGGCAGGGGGGGACGGAAAGACATGGAAAGGGATGGAGAAGGAGAAGGGGAACAAGAGAGCAGGGAAGGGGAGCGGCGAAGGGGGTGGGGGCGGGCGGAGGCGGGGAGCGCAAGGGGGAAGCGGAAAGGAAGGAGCAGGCAGAATGACGGAAGAGGAATAGAAGGCCGAGGGTGGCAAAATCCGCTGGCACCCTGTGGGGCGCAAGGCCAGAAAGCGTGCGGCTGGGCGGCTGTCTTGGCTGCTGTCTTTTACTCGTGCCCCGTGGTTGTCCAGCAGGCCCTGCCCCCTGAAGAGGACGGAAAAGGTGCAACCCCTCGATCATTGAAGTAGGAAGGCGCTTGAAGTACATTGGAATCTGGGACTCCAAGAATACCTACTTTCAACGACGGATAGGTAATGTTTAAACAGGTCAAGAACGGATCCCTCAGCCTCCTGGCCGCTCCCGGCTGCCCAAGAATATGACCAGCCCTGGGCGTAGGTGGTGCCGGTCCTGTCGGCATGTGCGAGGGCGAGAGGTTTCCCTGCGAAGCTCTCGTGTTCCTGCGGCAATCCCGGGGCCCAGCCCTCCGGAGCTCTACCCCCCTTTCCCTGCGGCCACCTGGGGCTCTCCAAGCTCGCCAGCCCGAGGTGTGAATCAGCCCACGTCGCGTTCCAATCGACGGGTAGCCGGATCCCTTTGATCCCTTCCCCGACGGGGGGGGAGGAGGCGGAATAGCTCGGGATGAGAAATCCTGCAATTGGTACGCACTCGTCAAAAACATTCGTGTTTATCTCACATGCGTTGTTCCAATGTGTATCGAGACACGGTAATGTGGTTGATAAGGATGTAGTGTGTTTGCCTCCGCCTACACGTTCTATAGCGCAGGCTTCCGATAAGCACCTTGAGCCAAGAGTGTACAATGGTGCGACGCGACGATCGGAAACTATGAATACCCATATCGTGCTTCCGCTGGGTGAACTATCACGCACTGCATACCACAAATAAGCATACAAAGGTGACGCGGCGGTGGCAACACAACGGTGGCGAGCGGCAGTAATGCTAAAGTGTACGACTAGCAAGCACTATCGTGCAGGGGGTGTCCGGGGAGGCCCCAGGGGGGGGTCCACGGAGGAGGGGGCCTGGGAGTGGCAGGGTGTTCCCCACATTTCCTTCCACCAGTAAGAGCCTACTCCCAGGTGGGACGGGGGACGGCGCCATCCCGTCCCCCGTCCCGCCAGGGGGTAGGCTCCAACTGGCAGTAGGCTCCAACTGGCAGTAGGCTCCATTTGGGAGTAGGCTCCAACCAGGAGTATGCTCCAACTGGAAGTAAGATCCTACTGTCCGCAAGCCTCTCGGGGCCCTCTTGGGCCTCCTGGGGGCCTCTTGGGACGAAGACTGTAATTTTCGGTTCATGTTCCCCCTCTTGGGCCCTTTTTGGGGCCGTCTTTGGGCCCTCTTGGGCCGTCTTGGACGCGCCTGAAGGGCCTCCTTGGGAGGTCTCTCGGGGCCAGTTTCGGCCCACCTTAGGGGCCTCTCAGGGGCCGCTTGGAGTGGCGAGCCCATATTGGTTTGCTTGAAGTTCTCGTCGGCTGTCCTGAACCTTGTGAGGGCACCCTGGGCTTGCGTCGGGGCCCTATCGTTTCGTCTCCGGCCACTCTTAAGCCATCTTGGGTCGCGCTCGGAGCGTAATTGACGCGTTGTTTGGGCGACACTGGGAGGCCTAAGTTTTCCTTGGCCTGGCGGCTAACGGAGAAGGCACGCGTGCTAAAGGTGCAGAAAGAAAAATGCAGAATCCATGCGCGCTGCCTGTTGTGGGTTCTCGAGTGCCTCATGAGGACAAACAGGCATGTTTTGTATTGTGTGGGTTTCCCTCAAGGCTTGACGTGGTGGCCAGGCTCGGTGACGCACAGACCAAGAAACCAATAATGTGGCGAGGTGCGACCGCTCCCACGGCTGCCAGAAACTCGGCCGCGGCACAACTGGAGTTCTCACCGCAGCGCTGGCATTTCCTGCGCCTGCCGAAGAGGCTCTCGGTCAACGGCATGGCTAAAAGCAACCTAAAACATTGGGATGCACGTGTTGTCACGCCAGCGGCCGTAGCACATGCAGTCAGGGAGGGCGGTGGTGATGGTAGCGTCCCATGTGGGGAGTTCCCCTCGACGCCCAGTGCTCTACTGCCTGCCAATCAGGTTCGACCGCCTTCGCAAATGTGTAAGTTTCAGAATATACCAAGTATGACCAAAGTGAAATAAAAGGATACGCCAGGCAGGAGGAAAGGAGGAGAAACGATCGTGTTCCGCGAAGGATGCAGTGAAGGGCATGCTGCCCCTCTTTCGCTTGCGCGATTCCAACATTGGAACCAACTGACGCCAAGCAAAACTTGCTTCTGCAGCCGATGCAGATTCGCCGTGATCTTCCGGAGATGCCGACAACTGGGGCAAGGCAGCGTGGTGAGCATGTGCCTCTGAAGGCATAACTGCCTCCGCATGATCATATTCTCCCAACAACCCTCCAACAACGAACCCAGCATTCCCAAGGTCTTTAACGTAAAAGTTCAGATACGGGAAGCCGCTCAGAGTGCGCCCATGGGTAATTTGTCCCTACCTAGGCTCTGCCTAGAGGGTTCTTACCCCCTTAGCTTAAAGGGGCCGGGCAGTGTAACACGCCCCGGGCGGTTCCCCCGGTCCCCGCCCCGCGGTTCCCCCAGTCGCGCCCCCTGGGTTCACCCAGCTTAGCCTAGCTAAGTTTAGCTTAGCTTAGCTTAGCTTATCTCATCTTAGCCTAGCTTAGCTTAGCCTAGCCTAGCCTAACGTAGCTTAGCTTCGCTTAACCTAGCGTATCTCATCTTAGCTTAGCTTAGCTTGGCTTGGCCTAGCTTAGCTTAGCCTAGCCTCGCCTAGCTTAGCGTAGCGTAGCTTAGCTTAGCATAGCTTAGCTCACCTTAGCTTACCTTAGCTTAGCTTAACCAGCAGAACGCAGCGCAGCACTAGCACAGCATATCATTGCATAGCATAGCATAGCATAGCATAGCATAGCATAGAGCTCAGCATAGCATAACATAGCATAGCATATCATAGCACAGCGCAGCATAGCATAGCATAGCATAGCATAGCATATAATAGCAGCGTAGCATAGCAGAGTGCAGCATAGCATATAATAGCACAGCAAAGCATAGCATAGCATAGTGCATCATACCATAGCAAATCATAGCATATCGTATAATAGCATAGCATAGCATATCATAGCATAGCGCAGCATCACATATCATATCATAGCATATCATAGTCTCGCTGTTGATGTTGATGTAGATGTAGATGCAGGTGCAGATGTAAATGTAGCTGTCGGTGTAGATGTAGATGTTGCGTTCCTAAATGCTCAAACTCCTAGGTAGGGTCGCACTGGGATATTCAATTGTATCTCCCCAAATTTGGGCCACTTCGGGATTTCGTCGTGGACACCCTGAGCGTTGAAACGGAGACTGTCGACCCCTGTGACCGCAACCCACGCACCCGTGCTGTTCAATTCTCGGAAATACATGTCTGCACATAGCCCACCCATGTGGACCGCGTTGGCCTGCACACGAAACAATGCGCTTCTCTGCCTTCCACGAGGGACGTTTATCAGATTATGACTGCCCGGTTTCATCAAGTCGAACCGCTGACAGAGAACGTTTGCCAAGTGGGTGTCGCCAATGGCAGACACACCTCCTGCCCCGCCCGCACCGGGAACACCTGCAGGGAAAGTCAGTTGCGGCGTCGGCCAACGTGGAGGAAAAGTCGAGCTGGGCGTCGGGCTGGGCGTCGGGCTGAGCGTCGGGCTTGGCGTCGGGCTTGGCGTCGGGCTGGGCGTCGGTCTTGGCGTCGGGCTGGGCGTCGGGTTCGGCGTCGGGCTTGGCGTCGAGCTCGGCGTCGGGCTGGGCGTCGGGTAGGGCGTCGGGCAGGGCGTCGGGCTGAGCGTCGGGCTGGGCGTCGGGCTGGGCGTCGGGCTGGGCGTCGGGCTGGGCGTCGGGCTTGGCGTCGGGCTCGGCGTCGGGCTTGGCGTCGGTTAGGGCGTCGGGCTGGGCGTCGGGCTGAGCTTCGGGCTGGGCGTCGGGTAGGGCGTCGGGTAGGGCGTCGGGCTGGGCGTCGGGCTGGGCGTCGCGGGGCTGGCTCCGTAGATCTACATCGCGAAATTGTTGTCAGTTTAGCATGATTGTTGCGCGAAGCCCCGCCATTGATGCATCGCTGCCCATCAGGGCCATTCCAGCAATCGTTTCCTCCATTTTCCATGAAATAACGGCAGCATGACTGGCCTCCAATTCCAGGACTCGAATGGAGCATGCCGTGGCTTCTGGAAGCTAGTGGCCCACGTCGAAACCGTGCTGTATTTGGGAGTTGTGCGGTCCTTCTAGAAGCCGTCGACGAGCGCCTGGGGGGCGGTGTGGGCCACGTGGGAGCCAGCATGAACGCCTGGGAATGATTTTCCAGCGCCTCGGGGCCTGATTCGGCTGTCGTGTACGTCTTAGGGCCGTCTTTGGGGCGTCGTGGGCAGTCTGGGCGCCCTCTTGGGGGCCTCTTTTTCTGTCTTGAGGTGAGCTTCTGTGTTCCTGGGGCTGCCTGGGACCGTCGGCAAGGTGGAAAGGGGGATGCACGGAAAACGTTCCGAACCCTATGGAAAATCAACAATTGTTGGCGCTTGGGGCCCTCCTCGAGGGCGCCTTGGAACCCTCTTGGAGCGTTTTGGGAGAGTTGTGGGCTGTCTTGCAGATTTCGCTGAGCGCCATGAGATCATTGTGAACCGCCTGGGAGGCATGACGAGCGCCTGGGACTGATGTTGTAAGGATTATGTTGCATTTTTTGACTTTCCTGGAGGTCTCTTGGGGCGTTTGTGTGGCCTCTTGGGCAATGTGGGCGCCCTCGTGGGGGCCTCGGAAGCCGTCTTAGGGCGAGCTTCGGTGCTTCTGGGGCGGTTGTGGTACGCTGGCACGCGAGAAAGGCGGAAACGCAAAAAAAACCCAAAAACCATTGGGAAGCCAA